TCCTTGTTGTGAATATAAATAACTTGTAATTGTCAGAAGCAGTTTTTATTAACATTATTTCACATGCATGAAGTTACATAAACTAAATTTCAGGTGCTAAATTAACCTTGCTGACTTAGATGAAATGTAAGAGCTGCCTATTGTTAAGATAACAAACTACTGCACCTATCATTTTTACCAGAGCAAACATGGGATAAATTCCTTCCTCCTTTCTTGAGTGCATTTCAAAGTAATGGAACATTTTAGGATTATCAGAGATAAGAATTTTTTTAATGGATCTCATTTTATTTTCTATAATCACTCTTCTCTTTCTTGACTTTCTATTACTGACCTCTGGGTCTTTGACTCCTTGAACATTTTTTTTTTTACCCTTTGTTCCTTCATTAAAGAAAGACCTGTTATAATAGCAATGCATAATCTAATGACATCCTGCTGGTACTCCCTACTGCTCCTTGTCTCTCCTTCTTTCATATCCGTGTTGTCACACACAACTATAATGTACACAGCTCAGACGTTAACAGACACCCCCACCCAACCTGCCCCCAATTAAGTTGCCAACCTAACGCCTCGCTTCCAGCCACAGGAGAACAGATTGCCTGTTACATCACTCAAGTCCATTATTCTCATTTCTTTCTGTGGCATACATTCTTTCTAGATGCATTTTAGCTCATGGTTTAAACAGAGGCAAGACATAGTTTGCATTTTAAGATTAATATTATATATCTTTGACTTTTGCAAAGCTAGACACCCTGGGGACTGACATTTAATAGATGTTAATGGGATTTAATTTTTACACACCCTATGTATGGACATTTATCTTTGAAATAAAATGGCGTGAAACGCATGTGGCACCAAGAAAATTTCAAAACAAATTATTTTTGACTCTATAGCCTTAAATCAAGTTACAGAGACTGAGCCAAGTAGAAAAGCTGCTTTTTGATATTTAGAATCCAAAACTGGAATATAATTATCATTAATTTATTATACTGAGGTTATTAGTAGGCATTTTGCCATGGTTATTATCATAACAAAACAGTTCTAGAGTAATTCTTAGATTATGTGAAAAATCTACTGGTTACCAGAGGGTTCGGGGTGGGGGAAAGAAGAGGGTCTAGGGTAGGGAAGGTGATAGGGCCTTGGCCCTGGACATTTGGTGGAGGGTGAGTAAGTATGTGGGAGTGTGCGGTGGTCCTCTCAAACTTATATGCTTATGCAAACCAGTGGCATATCAGTAACAGTTGAGAAATTTTTAATTATCCTAAAATGTTGCCTAAACCAAAGAAAGTTTCTTCATAGCCTCTTTTCTCATTAAATTCCATTAAGCAAGAAATCATCTCTCCAAAAAATATCCAGTCCCAAACATGCTAGATAGTAATCAATATGATACATGTTTTAAATATTTTTATATATAAGAAAAATGCTAATAAAGCAATACCACCGAGAAGTACTTCTGAAATTATGCCTACTCCACAGTGTATATAAATAAAATAATTGGGTGGCCTAAGCTTGTGCCTAGGCACATGAAAATCACTGGCTTTGTTAACATACATTTTAGTCTGGATATAAAATACAATTTAATTTCAAATTTTGTGTCATGCTATGAGTCACAGAATTTGAATAATTAACGAAAGATAGAAGAAAATACTATCATTTTAGTCTTTCTAACTCCTTCTAAACTAACTCTTAATTTCTTTCTGAACTGATATAAAAAAAACTATCAGTTGATTCTCTACATATTTAAGATGCTGAAATCTTTCCAGTTCCAATTAATAAAGAAAAACTCTTCTCTTTTTGCTTCAGTGCCTGCCACTGAAGTGCCTACTTAATAAACATTTGATGAGTAAATGAATGATTTGACAGTAACCAGGCACTTGCAGCAAAAATGAGGTATAGCAGTAGATTGTGAAGAGGCTAGGAGGAAAGAGTTCAGGGTCCTCTTCCTGGTTCCGCCACGAACTAGCTGTGTGACCTTAGGTAAGTAATTGACCTTCCTGAGTGTCAACTCCCTCCATGTAAATTTGGATGCTTGAGATGATTTCAAATGGCTTTCCTGTTCCAAAGCACTAACCGACACTACAGTTCTAGCTCTTAAAATTACCTGTTTTATTTTGGACTTTAGCCATGTGTCTCTACAGGCAGTAAGAACACATTTAGGCCATAAAACCTCTCCATCTGAGAACACACGAAGTAGCCTCTAGCATTAAATTGATTAAGAGACAAGATATGCTAAGGCAGGTGGTAGAAAGATAAAAGCTTAGAGGACTCACATGTTAAAGACTTGAGCAAGTGCAGGAGACAAAAGAAGTAGAAGAGCTATCTAAAAAAAAAAATGTCTCCACAGTTCAGATTAGTGATGGTTAGGGAAGGCAGGTTTTCTCCAGAGGTTACAGAGAATTGGTTTTATTTATGACTGATTAACAACTGATTAATTTATAAAAGGCTTCCCTTCCAAAGAGAGCGCCAAGATACTCTGTTTTCTAATTGGATAGTGACTTTGCACATAAATAAAGGAGAATCATGGCTGCCTGTTGGGGAGATACTTTGACATGGCAGGTTGCTCCTGTCTGTTCTGATTTACTGTGTGACCTTGGGCAAGTCATTCATCTTCCCCCAAACCAGGTTCTCTAATTATAAAATGGAAATAAAAATCCTTCAAGGAGGATTAATGAGACAAGGGGGATGTCTTTAAGCTTCCAGAGGGGAAAAGACTGTCCATAAGCAAGCCAAGAGCTACTAAGAATGCTGTTGGATTTTTAAAATCCAACTTTTAAAACACCACAGCAATAAAACCCTGGAGCTTTAAGTTTTCTAGTCTTAAAACAAAGGGCTCCCCTCAGACACGCAGCCCATTTCCCTGCCTCCCTGATAACATACCCTGGAGACTTGGAATCTTAGTAGCTGGAAGACAGGTACTGAATTTATTCCTATGGGGTACTAATCCCTGCTCCACCTTAAACAGTGCCGTCCTTGGGATCAAGCTAGTGTTTCAGCGTCTTGGTTTCCTCTTCAGGAAGACACTGGATAAAAATACTACTTAAAGATATTTTTACAGCTGCCTGGCATATAGTAAGTTCCAAATAAATGCCAGCAACAATTTGTTTTTCAGCAGCATCATTCAAACTGCTGAAATATCTTCCTTCTGAAAAATCAAAGATCCCCATGTAAGAGAGCTGGGGTGAAAAGTTAAAAGTCACGTGAACATTAGCCGTTTAAAATGTGTTGGACAACAACTAGCAGAGGCCTTGACACTCACCTCCTTAAGGGCACTGAATAAAACGCTTGGCGGGGCTGCACCAGGACTTGAAGTTCGCGGGCGCGGCCGCGAGGGGGCACTGCGCGTCTGCTTTGGCGCGGGCGAGGCGAAGGCGCGCGCGGGAGGCCTGGAGGCTGCGAGCATCCGAGCGCCCAGGAGCGGGGAAACCTAGCAGGGCCCGGGGTTCTCACTAGGAAAGAAGAGGCGGCCGGGGTGACCCCCCCCGCGGAGGCCACGCGCGCCCTCGCAGCGCTCCCCAAACAGACCTTCATTTGAGACCCGCGAGTCCCCGGGAACTCGGAGCTCTTCCCGCGTCCCCCACCCCGGCCCACACTGTCGCGTGATTCCTGAAGTAGTCTGTGTCCCCAAAGACGCTGAACTATCGAATTAGGGGACGAAGGAGCCCCTCCCCTGGCCCCTCCACGCGCGCGTCTGGAAAAGACATGGAGATGCTCATTTGGCCACTTCCCAAGGTGGGGGCCGGAGGCCGGCGCGCGCCCCGGGGGCCCCATCCGCCGCAGGGGTCCTCCAGGTGCTGAGACACCCCAGCCGCGAAGTTGCACGGCCTCCCGCGCTCAGAAGCCGACGTCCCTGCGCCGCCGCGGCCGGACCAAAATTCTGCGGGTCCCGAGAAGAGGCGCAGACACTTAAGGCAACTGAGGCGAGGACCTCGGGCTGCTCCACCTGCCGCTCGGGTCCCCGCCCCCAGGGCTGGCTCCGGCTTTGGCCCCCGAGAGGAAGCGCCCCGGGGAGCCCGGCGCGCAGCCCCTCCGACGCGGGCTAGGGGGGCCGCGCGCGCCCCCGGCTCTGCGACCGGCCGCCCTCAAGCGCGCGGGGGGCAGAGTCGCCCGGAGCGCTCGGGCAGATCGCAGGTCGGGGCGCCGGAGAGGAAAGCCGGGCGGAGGCGAGGGTGAGAGGACGCGGCGGAACCCAGGGAGGGGGCGCGGCGGAATGCGCCGGGCGGGGGGCCAGGGCGACCCCGCCTAAACTTTCGCAGACCCGGGGGCCTGGGAGAGTCAGGCGGACACCCTGGCCTCTCGGGTGCGCAGCCCAGCGGCGGCCAGGGGGAGCCCCGCGGCGCAGGCGGGGTGCCGGCGGCCCCCGGGTCGCGCCCACCCCTCGGGCCGACGCGCCGCGGCTCGGGGTCCAGAGCGGGCGTCCGCGGAGAGGCCGGACCGCCGCGCCCCGCGCTGAGCGCGGGCCCCGAAAGGTGAAGGGACCCCTGACCCCGCGCCTGGCCCGGGCGGGTGGGCGGCGGCGGGCGCGCAGGCTGGCGTCCGGGCGGCCGGGCGCGAAGTGCGCGCAGAGATTTCCACGGGCCGGGGAATGCGAGTCCAAAGAAGCGCAGATCCCAGCCCGGGCTGCGCCCGCGCCCCGCGGCGGAGGAGACACCCCGCCCCGCTAGGAGGACGGCCGTGAGCCGCGCGCGCCGAGGCGAGGCGCTCCCGGGCGGCCGCGGGTCTGCGCGCAGGAGCCGCCTCCCCGGCGCGGGGCGCGCGCCCAGACGCCGCCGGCGGCGGCCAGGAGCCGGGATGCGGCGCGCGGCCCCGGGACGGTCCCGGCCGGGCGAGCTCGCGGGCGGCGCGAGGCGCTGCTGACCCCGCGCGGGCCGAGGGGTGCGCCGGGCCCCGCCCGCCCCCGCCCCGCGCGCCCCTCCCCGCGGCGCGGCGTATCCAGGGGCGGCGCGGAGCGGCTTCGCAGCCGCCAGAGCCGGAGAGCGCGGCGCGGCTCGGGGAATTCACTTTGCCGCTGCTGCGCTTTCCCCTTCCCGGGGCTGCCTCGGAGGCTCTCCGCCGCCGGCCCCGCGCGCCCCGGGCGCAGGAAAACTTTCCCGGGGTTTCTTTTCCGCCTCGGAGCAGAGGCTTGAAAGTTGCAAGAACTGGTGGCGCCCGGGCGCCCGGCGGGGGCTCGGCGAGGGGCCGCGGCCCCACCATGTGCACCAACATAGTTTACGAGTGGCTGAAGGCGCTGCAGCTCCCGCAGTACGCGGAGTCCTTCGTGGACAACGGCTACGATGACCTGGAGGTGTGCAAGCAGATCGGGGACCCGGACCTGGACGCCATCGGGGTGCTGGCGCCCGCGCACCGCCGCCGCATCCTGGAGGCCGTGCGCCGCTTGCGGGAGCAGGACGCGGCCGCCGCCGGCCTCTACTTCACGCTGGAGCCGCAGCCGCAGCCCGCGCCGCCCCGGCCGCCCGCCGCCTGGGTGCCCACCGGCCGCCGGGGGGAGCCGGGCGGCGGCCCGGCCCCGGGCCCCCGAGGGGGCCCCCGCAGCCCGACGGCCGCCCCGCGCGGCAGAGAGCTGGTGAGCTACCCCAAGCTGAAGCTGAAGATCATGATCCGGGACAAGCTGGTGCGCGACGGCATCCACCTGAGCAAGCCCCCGTACTCGCGCAAGGTAAGGAGGCGCCACCCGCGCGGGGCGGGGCGCGGGGCGCACCTGGGAGGGGACGGGCGCAGCGCTGCGGCCCGCGCTGGGCAGCCCATGGCAGGTGGCCGCGGGGGACTGAGATGCTCGGGGTGCTCGGGGTTCTCTTCTGCGTGTCCTGCGCTCGCTCTGCGCGCCTGCTTTCCTGTGTCTCCAGCGGTTGGTGACACAAGACCCGCACCGACATAGATGCTCCTTCTCCGCGGGGGCCGCGTCTGGTGCGGGCTCTGGGGCTCTCCTGTCCGTGCTTCTCCAGGAGCAGAGAAAGGTCCAGATTGTCTCTGGTGTTGGGGGCTGAAGGGTACCGAAAGAAGGGTTGCAAGTTTACATTATTTCCCGCCCTTCTCTTTTCTTGTTCTATGGCTGACCTTTTGGAGACGCTCCCGAGGGAAACTGGCAGTGGGAAATGATGCCCTGTGGCTCTCGGCTCCATAAAGTGGAACCCCGAGACTGCCGCACGTTTGAGAAGTGAACACAGTGAGGGAAAAGTTAACGAAACTCTTATCCGTGCACGACGGTTAAGTTCCTTCAGCTTGTGTGTGTAGAGAAGATCCTGGAGATCATGGGGTTCCCCTGCTTTTCTGTCAGTGGGGGGAGGGGTGTCACGCTTTTGGCTTGGTTTAGAGGAGATGAGGCAGTCCAGTTGTGGCTTCTGGGAAGCCTGGGTGGACTGGCACTTGGGAAGGGGGCACAGCAGCGGGGGAGGGGGGTTGTCTAGGGAAGGAGGACGCTGTGTGGACTGGTGAGCCCAAGATCTAAGAGCAGGCATTCACCCAAGACCTGTGTCTCCAGCGGAGGGTCTTGAGGGTTGGTTTCTGCAGCAGAGGGCCCTGATTTGAAAAGCAGAGGGAGACAACCCGGGTCATCCCCAGCCTCCTGGAGTTACCCTGGAAAACAGGCTGCTTGGCTGGAAGATACAGTGGAGAAGGCCAGGGGGACTTGATGGGGCAGATGCTGCAGCTGGGAGGGGGAAATGTGGGTGCTCTAAACGCACACTCTCCTTGGCCCTCACCATGCCTTAGAATCTTAAGGTGATAATGTCTGCGTGTAAGGAGGTTTAATCACGAACTTTGTGACGAGTAGATCATATCTGCAGGATGGGGATACAGGCTTGAATGGGTTATTTTGCTAAACAACTTGCTTGAGAGGAGAAATTTGTTTTATACAAACTCAGGAGGGTGGGCCTCAAGAGAGTTTGCCTCCAGGGACAGGTGTGCGCGGGTTACCTGGGTTACCTGCATGGACTGTGTTACTGAGGTGTGTCCCGTTCAGGAGTGTGAGGAGAGCTGGCTTTTCCTGGGCAAGTCAAGCCCTGGCCAGGAAGGGGTGCAGAGAGCAAGGGGTGTCACCAGGGCTTGCTCAGTCTCCAGAAAAGAGCTGTGCCAGCGACTGGAGGACAGAAGAGAGTGTGGCCTGGAGGTGACAGGGGTGGGCAGGAAGTCACACAGGTTGGCTCTGTGACTTAAAAAAGACAGGTCTAGATATCAAACTTAGAACGCGGAAAGGGTTCCTCTTCCTCTTCGAGGATTCTGGAATATGTCACTGGATTGTACATTCTTGCCTAGATCAGTGGGTGGATGGTAGTGCGGATTATTGATAGAAGAAATTTCAGTTTGCAGAGGGAAACTGTACTTCCCATGTGAAGAATTAATTTAGTCAATGTTTATGTAAATTCCATAAGTTTGCTCATAAACTATGTCTCATCATTGACTTCCTATACATATTTAATTCTCCTCAAACAGATGAAAGAATAAAATGGGGACAGAAGTGGTTTTCTAACCACCTTTGTGGAAGTTCCACCTGGGAACTAAAACAATGGAGCTGACCAATTTAGTTATTTGAAAAACAAAAAAACAAAAACCTCTTACTGTATGTTTATGTAATTGTTACAAGAAAAACACCCACTGACATGGAAACTGAAATATACTGACCGTACCCCCAAATGAGCGGACAAGTTTGTGGTGCCAGCTCATGTGGCTTCTTCGGGCCTTGCCTCTTAAGTTTTAGATTTTAAATTGTTCTAGAACTTGTTATCTGACGCAGCTTGTTTCTTTGTAGAAAGCGCTGGGATCAACATGATGCTGTCTCTAGATACCCTGGCGCTGTCTCCATTAGACTGTGTCATGCTTGTCATGGCCGCTTGGAATTCTGCTTGGGAGAGTGGGCCTCACATTTCCCTGCCACTTGTTTGCATGATGGATCCCTGTGATGTTTTTGCACTTTGGTGGGACTATTAGAGGTTAAAAGTGGGTTATGTTAAAGGTGATCAAGGCAGGAATGGTGACTCTCTCACAGAGGAGAGTAAGTTGAAGAATTTTCCCGAGAATCACCTGCTGGGATTGTGGGTTTGGAGCATTGGCTCCAACTCAGCTAATGTTTCGGGGTGCTGTGCTCTCTAAATTTTATTTTATTTTTGTGGGACCCTCGCCGGCGGCCGGGGAACGAACCGGCGCTGCAGAGGCTGCGGGCAGCCTCGCAGCCCAGCGCTCAACCGCTGCGCCACCAGGGGAGGCCCATCTCTAAATTTTATCAGCAATTCCCACGTCCCCTCCTAGGTCAGTTGAAATGTTAAGTTACGGGTACATTTCACTGTTTCCAACAGAAGCCCGTGCCTTTGTAAAACCAGCAGTTTGGCAAGGGAACCGCTTAAAATGAAAAGACATTGGACGGGTCCCCACTCCTGCCATTTATTCAGCTGCTCCCACTGATGTGATTTCTCTCGGTGAAGTTGGGATGTGTTTTCGCAGGGTGTGGCGTAGATGAAGCACTCTATACATATTTGAGTATTTTACCAAGCTGCTCTCTGCCAAGTCTTCTAAAAGTTCAAGGTTGCCATGGTTGGCAAGTTGCAGGAGCCCTGCCCTCAGGGAACTGGGGATCTAGCAAGGAAAACATGAGACTGACCACGAGGATTGATAAAGTGTGGTGATTGCTTTGATGGGGAGCACAGGTGCGTCCAGGTGCTTTGATGGGGAGCACAGAGGAGCACAGGTATGGACAGGTGCATCCAGCCTAGTTGGCAGGCTGGGACCTACATTTGGTCTGGAGATTAAAGGTTGGGAGGAAAAACCCGAGCAAGAGGTTGGTCCAAAGGGAAGGAGCGTTCTAGCAGAGAGAACTGTGTGTGCAATAGCCAGAAAGGGAGGAAGTTTCGCGTGCTGTGGGCAACAAGAATTTTGAGGAATTTAGTCTGGCTGGAGCTCAGAAGGCTTGGAGGATATGGCCAGAGACGGAGAGACAGAGTGGCTTGTCCTTGATGGACTTGATGTTTTATTTAGGAACTTGGTCTGTGTCTCAAGAGGGCAGCTGCTGCTGGGTCCTGACCGGAGGCAGTGTGAGCAATGAGGAGCCGGGGGTGGTGTTGGCAGTAGTTTGTTGGTGGCTGAGAGTGACAGCAGGGGCAGCACAATGGCGGCAACTGAGAGGTAGAATGGACTGGACTCCACTCTGGATGTGGAAGGGAGAGAGGCTGGGAAAACCCGCAGGTTCTTGTTTAGGAATGTGATGTCATTCCTGATGTGGGGGTCCGGGGAGAAAAGAGCAAGCCTGGGATGGAAGAAATTACCTTCAGGTTCAAGATAACTGTGTATCACCTGCCCGGGGACTGTCCAAACCTAGCTGTCTAGTCGGCGATTAGAATTTGGCTGTGGAGCATGGAAGGGATCTGGGGGTCATCAGCCCACAGAAGCAGGAGCTGGGAGAGAAGAAAGAAGAGACCAGGGTGGAACCCTGGGGGAGAGGAACCTCCAAGGGAGGCTGAAACCTCCAAGGTGAGCAGAGCGGGATGAGGAAGTGATATTCCAGAAATCAGTGGAAGCAGAGAGGCTTCCAGCAAGAGGGCCCGGTCAAGAGGTCAGATAGAGGTCAAGTCAGACCACAACTGAAATCTGTTCCTGGGAAGCAGCAATCAAGTCATTAAGAACCTTCATCTGCAATTTAAAGCTTTAGGGGTTGGGGCCAGTGACAGGAAGGAGAGGAAGTATGCATGCAGGCAACTTTTATTTTTTTAAGATTTATTTTTTTAAGAACAGTTTTCGGTTCACAGTAAAATTGAGAGAACAGTTCTTTCTTGTGTATTGAGCGCCTGTCCCTGCTAGTGCATCCCCCACCAGAGTGATACTGTATTTACAGCTGGTGAAACTACACTGATGCATTGTGGTCACTGACAGCCCGGAGCTACCTTGGGGTTCCACTCTTGGTGCTGTGCTTTCTGTGGGTTTGGCCACATGTATAATGGGGTGTAGCCATCATTGATGCTATTCTCCAGAGCATTTTGACTGCCCTAAAAATCCTCTGTTCTCTCTCTAGTCAGCCTTTTTCGGTTCTCTAATCTCTGGCAGCCACTGATGGTTTTACTGCTTCCATAGTTGCGTCTTTCCCAGAATTTCCCGTCGTTGGCCCTTTCAGACTGGCTGCTTTCATCCAGAACTACCCATGTAACTTTCCTTAGCGCCTTTTCACAGCTTGATAGCTCATTGATTTTCACCTTGTGTGAGGGCAATGCTGACAACCTTTTAAAGAAGCTGGACTGAGAAGGTAGAACTAGGCCTACAGCCGGAGGAGGAAGGGAGATTTGGGGGCAAGTGAAAAAGTTTTGTGTTTTGTGTCTTCTTGGAGGATGAGAGAAACTGGAGCATGTCCTAGTGTTGGTGCTGGGGAGCCAGAGAAAGGGAGCTGGTGGAGATTCGGGAGCAAGGAGCCAGGCGCAGAGGCCAAGGAGGGCGGAGGGAATTGTGTGAGATGCTGGGAGAGAAAGAGGAATTTTCTTCCAGTGGGAGAAGTGCTTGCTGAGTGTGAGGTGGATGGGGAAGGTGGATGGGGAGACTGGAACCTTTATAGGGGGACAGAGAAGAGCCCTCAGTTTTGCCATCCACCTGATGCCAACGAGGAGGGAAGATGGAGGGCTGAGAGGCTTATGAGGATCACTGTGTTAATATACAAATGTTTTTATAGTTATGCCTCAGTGTGCA